TCAATTTGCATTATGTTGAAGGCAAAAAAGACTGTTGAATGTACACTTTCGCAACGCGAAAGTCAAATTCGCGTTGCGATTTTCTCGTTGCGATAGTCAAATTCGCATTGCGATTTTCACGTTACGAAAGTCAAACTCGCGTTGCGATTTTTGGTTTGCGATTTTGATTTTCGCGTTGCGAAGTCAAGGAAAACACCTTCAAAAGATAACATACAACAATCTGATAAGTGATAACAACTCAACAGATCATAGCAATGTTTAAACTCAAGTTACTAATGAATGTCTAACTGAAAATGTATGCATTCACACATAAAATACACATAATACAACGTTTGCATTTAAAACCCACCTAAGTTAATAAGTCCCAAAAGGTGAAGTCGGTTGTGATTGCGATTTTGATTTTGATTGCGATTTTGATTTCCTTTTGTTTGACACCATATGAGCTTTGGATTTTGATGAGGATCCATATTTTGGTAGAGGAAACGATGATTGTGATGGCACTGGTGATCCACATGTCAACCTTGTATGACCAATTTCCTTGCACCGACTACATGTCGATATCCTCTTCTCTTCACCCTTAGACGGTATATGATCGTGATTTTTTGGTCGGCCAGGTAGCCCGCTGTCCATGATTGGTGGCAAAACTGTTTGTAAGTCATCAGGTATGTCCCACTCAGAAGGATGTGGAATAGGGTAGACAATCTCGGCATAAGTATGTCGATATACTTCTGTAGTGTAGCAATCCATAGCGTATGCGCTTGAATCATTTTGGTTTAGATGAAGAGCAACTTTTATAACATGGCAAAACGGATAACCAGATGTTTGCCATTTCATACAACTACACGTTTTTGCATTTAGATCGACAAGCCCATTTAAGTTATTATCCAATACTTCAAACAAAGTGTTTGAACATGGTTCAACTCTCCATGACGTTGACTTCACAACACGTTTAATGATATTTTTCTCAGTCCATGGAGTAACACGACGTTCCAATGTTCTTGTAAATTTAAATAAATAATACTTAGTAAAATATATAATAAGTTACGAATTTAAAGAAATAATACCTGCATGGTTTCTTTTCTTGTAGTACCACTGTTGAATAGAGGCTCAAAAAACTCCATTAACATAGTAATGGGTAATTTCCGGGAATGATGACTTAGAGCGTTGATTGATTCTGCACTATTAGACGTCATGAAATCATATCTTACTCCAAGTTGATGTACTCTTGACCATCTTTCAAACCCGACATCTTCTAGTGTTTGAGCACATTGAGGCAAAACACGTCTTAAACAATTTATATTCTTATTAAAATCCACTTCCCAGATAAGCTTTTACAGCCTTCTAGTATGTCCATTTGTGTTTTTTTATACCAGCAGACATTGATTTTAGATTTTTGTACAAATGAACACCACAAAGTCCATGAAAAGCATATGGGAAACACCTTCTAACAACGTTGTCAATTGAGTTTTCCCTATCGGATATGATTGTCAGATTGCTAATATGACCTATGTAATTCCTAAGATGCCCCATAAACCATGTCCATGAATCAGTGGTTTTAGATTTGCCAACCCCGTAAGCTATTGGCAGTATCTCATTGTTAGCATCCATGGCTACTGCTAATAAGTTTACTCCAAGGTATCGACCTTTCCGTCAACTATAATAACTGGGTGCATGCAAGTAATAAACGAACGAATCTATAAAATAATATACACAAGAAATATAATCATTTAAATGTGAAATGCATGTCAACAAAATTATATTGATTTACTAACCGCAACACCAATGGCGATAAACAACAACTCAAAGCGTTCATCTCTATCTATTTTGATATGAGTTACCGACCCAGGATTTTTCAGCTTTAAATTGTGACAATAAGACGGCAGTTGGGCAAACGATGCTTCTGGAGACCCCCTAAACAATTCCAAGGCATAACATTTGGCTCTCCAAGCTTGAGAATATGAGATACTAATCTTGAACCGAGCATTCATGTCAGTCATAATTTCATGTCCCCGATATACTCTGTCATTCATAAACATTATCTCAGCCAGAAAACCACCCAACACTTTTTTGTTTGCCTATCTATGGTGAGGAAAAACTGGGGTTCTTGAACATGTATGTTTATCAATAAAATTCCTAACTTGAAACATTTCGCAATCTTTTATCCTCTTTGCAATCATACGCCATGTACAGTTTTTGTCAATCATACACTTTGTTTCGAAATGATCTTTGTTTGATTTGTTAACTTTTAGTTGATAGCCATCTTCCACACATTTTGTATACAAAGCTATCTTCAAGTCTTCCTTTGTATCAAAACAATCATCTTTCTTGATACGAATAACTTTTGTATAACAATCAACTGTTATCTTTACCAACTCTTTTTCCGGTATCTGAAGTAATTCTGGCATATTCCAATTATACTCTTATGGCATTTTCTTCTTCTTTTTTTCTTCGGGGACTTCTTCTTCTTCAGGGTTATATGAATTACAGAATGGATGTTCAACATGTTCATTCACAGTCGTAACTTCTTTTTCATTATCATCAACAACATCTTCCTCGGCAACGGTTGTTTCATCATCAAAATTCAGGTATTGTCCAATATCAAAATCATTACACGCAGGGTCTGTTTCTTCTTCTGAAACATCATCAAAATCCGAGTATTGACCAAGATCAAAGTACGGGTATTGACCAAGATCAAATTTCGAATACTGACTAGTACTCACAATTTTTTCTGTTGGCTCATAATCGTCTAACTGGTCAATACGAAAACCGGAATTTGTTGCTGAAAGTTGATTGGGATTTGGATTAAGAAAAGGTTGTGGGTTTTGATATTGTGTTTGGTATTGGAAATGTGGTGAAACAAAATTTTCTTGGTGATGAAATTATGGCGGAACCATTAAATTTTGAGGTTGATAACAACTTTGTACATTGTGAGCACTATAAACTGGGGTTGAAGAACTGAGTTGATTACTACCCGCTACTGACCCAACTTCACTACTTCTAGGTTCAACAACATACAATGTAATATCATCTTGCGAAACACTAATGTAAGCAATGAATCGTTCAACATCTTCATTGTCGGTTAACAAATAAACTTTACCTTTTTCTGATAAGATAGCCTAAATCCACTTAAAGGCTCTAAATTCAATTTCTTTGCAACACGTAACATTAGAGTTTCATAAGTTAACTTTTTTAATGACAGTTTTAGTTGAAGATTCATGGGTAAAGGCACATACTGTAAAATACCATGAACATTCTCCATGACCCTCCAAAACATAAATCTATCCAAACATGATCAACATTAGATGATTTCATTCTACAAATTGTAAATTAATTTACTAAACAAACGAGCTATAAACTAGATATCAGCACTAACTTTGAGAAAAACATACCTTTATTAAGTTGATAGTTGATAATTTGGGAGAGAAATCATTGAAAATTTGTATAGAAATAAAATTATGTAAAAAAATTAGAGATGGGGAAGGATATCGTTGGATATAGGAACGGATGTGCCGGAGAGAGTGATAGATGGAGATGGAATGAGTTGCGATTTAGGGATTTAGGTTATGAGTTGCTACTGATGCCTAGTTATATACCCAAAACATTTGTGTTGCGAAACTAAAACCTGTTGCGAAACTAAAACCTGTTGCGAAATTAAATTCGTGTTGCGAATTCGAAAATCGAGTTGCGAATTTGAAATTCAGTTGCGAATTTGAAATTCAGTGTTGCGAATTTGACTTCTGTGTTGCGAATTTTACTTTTGTGTTGTGAATTTGACTTATGTGTTGCGATTTACATAATCGCGTTGCGAATTTGGAAACTGAGTTGCGAAATAGGAGTTCACGTTGCTAATTTGTTGATCATTTTCGCAAATACAAAAAAAGTTGGTTAAAATTGTATATTATAATGCATTTTCGGTCACTGAGGTTATTTTCTAAATAAATGTATTTTATAAAGAATATATTTTGGAGAAAAAACATTTATGTGTTATAAAGGAGTTAAAGGAGTTGGTAGGAATAATAAATATATAAAAAAAATAAAAGGAATAGGAATTAAGAGTGAGTATTCGAGTTGAATAAAAATAAAATATTTAGAGTTAATCGAATTGACAAATCATATTCTATCATTCAAAATTTATTTGAATCTTTTCTTGAATCGAGTCCATATAAATATTTGAATTGAGTCGAATCAAGTAATTATGTCATGCAGTATATAAAAATATTTTCTAGCTGCTACTAAGAAAAAGAAAAAGATAAATAAATTCATTATAGGGTAAAATATACAAATAAACTCCGACTATAAAATGTTACTTTGTTAAGTTGTCTGCTATTAAAAGTTACAAAATATTTTGACTATAAGGTGCTACTTTATTAAGTCTTTCGACTATTAAAAGTTACAAAATGATCATCTAACTATTCATATGTTCAAAACTCTTCATTTTTTGTTAAAAATTAACATTCATCTGAGATGATAATTAGCTTGTTAATTAAGATATGATAAAATCTTATCACCTGACAATTCATATATTCTAAACTCATTCTTTTCTGTTAAAAAATTAACAACCGTCTAAGATAAACGTTAGTTTGTTAACCAAAATATGATAAATCTAATCTCATAATTATTTTAACTATATTTTACAAATAGAATCTCTATTTACATTATATCAACGAATCAATGCTTGAAATATTATAATAGAGAATCAATCCTTGAAAATAACAATGATACCAACAAACATTATTAAAATATAATTTTCTCATAATTCAATCAACAAATTAATATCCAACTCATACAAATGTCAAATTTTTAACGAAAAATAACAATTTAAGAACATATAAATAACCAAATGATCATTTCATAATTTTTAATAGTCAATGGACTAAAAAATATCTTATAATCAATAAACAATTTTATAATTTTTAATAGTCAAGAAATTCAACAAAACAACACCAAGACTATTTGTTTACTTTACCTTCCATTTTAACACGTAATCTCTCAAGTAAAATTACATACAATCAAGATATATATATTCAGATCATCCTGTATAAAATGTCAAACCATATAAAATAACATCGAAAGAAATAACGTCAAAAACTAAGCATATATGTATATATATATATATAAACTGTAAACAAATGAAACCGAGGAAGAATCAGTGAGCGATATGAAGAAATAGTAATAGCAAGTGGTAATGATATATCATCAATTTCCACAGTGCCATTTGGATGTAGGAACACAGCTCAGGTAATGGCACCAGCTGCAATGGTCGTTTCCGTTCTCCCCTCTAAACAGCATTACCAACCCCACAGTGAAACTGCCATAATCCCAAATGGAAAACAAGATCATCGACAGGACCGGAATTATAAACACGATGAACCATCTACAAAAAAAAAATAGTTTCCATGGAGTTTAATAACATAGAAGTTTAGAGAGCTTACCCAACAATGAGTAAAATCACACCGATCACCCAGAACACATATTGGTACGCCTTGTGCTTGGATTTGACTGGAGCACCGACAGGAAGATTCTTACGTCCCACCCAACCGAACTGGGGACGAAGCAGCAAAACAAACCCGAGGAGAAAACCGGACAAGAAACCTCCAATATGTGCAAAGTTGTCAACATGAGGAAGAATCCCTATTGCTAGGTTAATGGCAATGATGACTACGAGTGTGATAAGCGCTGCGGCCTACAATATGAAAGAAGAAAAATGTAAATGATACAACCATGACAAATCTCGATGTAGCAAAAAACCATAATCACCGATTACCCCCATTTTCCTTCAGCTTTTTCTTAAATGGCACTGCTGATTATTACATCACGGCTACCAATATCTACTTATCTTAAGCTCCAAACATGAAGACAATTACTATTTCCAATTGCATATAGCATGTAAAAGATAGCCTTCTTCAAAGGAACTAAAAACCAAGGAGAAGTACCTTATTTGTATAGATAGTCCAGTTAGTCAGCAGCTCCGATAACATCGCCCCAAGTAGGCCAAATAAAGCACCAGAGGCACCAACAGAAATATTACGCTGAATGAAAAGAGCCGATAGCACGCTCCCACCAAGACCAGACAACAGATAGATAAGCCCGACGCGTACTGCCAGGAGAAAGAACATATATCGATTATAACACCATGATGGGCCAAATCAGTCTCTAGGTAGACATCAAAAGAATAATCCAAAAATGAACTTTATAAAATCCAGGTAGCCATTGACCACAGTACAGTTGGAATAAATAAAATGATCCACCAACAACAAGTAGTGCAATCAATGGATTACATAAGAATACGTGTTTATAGGATATTTCAATTTGCTCATTGATCAAAGACTGGAAAAAATCTTCTAAATGTTTCATATTCCAAAAATATTATGTAATGTGGAAAATTAATCAAACATTTGAAGAAGAACAAATAACGTACTGAATCCAAACTGTTGTTCAAGGCGTATTCCAATAAAGACCAAGCTCAACATGTTTGCAAGCAGATGAATAACACCTGCATGCAGCCAGATGCAAGTGATAAGCCTCCATCCTTGATTTCCATGCACTATCTTCTCCCACTCCAGTGCTCCCAATTTTTCCAATCTGACAAAGAAGGAACATTACAAAATTACACGAGTTGCAATCATCACAAACCGCACAGCATAATTAAAAAGGGCTTGCTAAACCACAGAGATGTAACATGTTCAACTTCACAATTCACAGTCCAGTGAACAGCTGAAAAGTCATGTACTTTCCGAATGAAAAGGCTGAAATCCAATTCGTAGTTAGTTACTATTAGAAAGATTTGGATTTGCATTAGACCATACAAAAACAAAAGTGAAGCCCCATGCCTCCATGTCTATTACTTCAATACTCGATAGAGATCACATCTTTTTCTATTTCAACTCCAATATACCATGAAATCATATATAAAGTAACTTCATTATTCAGTACATCATCCCCAAACATGTCCTTTTGTAATTTTTACAAAATTCAGAACATTCATTTAGATTGTTTAATAGTTATAAAACAAAAATAAACAGGAATTGACCTCTTAACACTGAAATAACATGCTACATAGATGGATACCCTTATGCTATAAGCAAGAAGCGGATTCCCTGCACTTCAGCTAGACAAAGCAAAACCATGAGATTCAATAAACCAACTAATCCAATATTGAGAATTCCTATTGCTGCTAATGAACAAGAAAGAACAAACCTCATAACCTTAAATTGTATCAATCAAATCATACAAAAATTTCCAGTCTGTGTAATCATCCATCATCTCATAGAATCAAAACAAATCAGATAATCCTATAAAACATCAATTGGACTGAGTTGAACCATCAAAGAAAAACTTCCTATATAACCAACTTATAAAAGACACCAATAGCCCCAAAAAGTTACAGAAACCTGAAATCCCAGAAAACCAGAGACGGCTAAGAGGCGGTTTAAACAGGAAGAAGTCAAATTTAGAGAAGGGGTACACGAGACTTACGTATTAGAAGAAGGACCGAAGAGAGGATTTTCTCTTGTAGGCTGAAAAGAAAGCCTGCCAAGGAACCTAGCCACACAGCTGCCTTCCAATCCCGAATTGTTCTTAGGACAATTATTAACATACATCACCACAACAAAAACAGCGACATTAGCCACCACAAACATCGGAACAAGCCATGAAGTCCATTGCTTTTCATTGTTCTCCACAGAGTAGGTAGAAGATGATCGGTTGTAGCTATTTCCATTGTTCTTCCCATTACCTCTTTCTAGATCCCCAGTTGCCATCCTCCTTCAAAACAAAAGTCCCTTCTCAAAGGATAAAGTTGTGGTCTTTTTTTCTAGGTTGTTCTGGGGGATTGAGTTGAAGGTTATATCAACAACAGAAGAGTGGCTTCAAAGAGAAATTGATGACCAGGAATGGGAGAAAATTAGAGAGAAAAGGGTTGGGGTTTGTTTAGTTTATTGTTTTTCCTTCTTGGTAAGCCTTTTTTTTTTTTTTGGATAATTGTTCTTGGTAAGCCTTGAAGTTAAAACAAAGCGCTGTTTCTCAACCCCCACCACCCCCCGCCCCCCAAAAAAAAAAAATCCGCGGTTTGGTTTGGTTTGGATTTGGATCCCATATGTCTCTTTCTTTTTGTTTGGGTGCTTCTTGGTGGTTTGTCAGAAGGTTGTGGGGTTTGATAGGGAGGGTAAACTTTTTAGGATAAATTATTTAGTAACTTAATTATCCCTTTAGTTTCATTTTAATCAATCGACTATAATTATTTTAAAATTATATCTAATATTATATTTTGATTCTATTTTGATGATCTATTATTCAAAATTAACATGGACGTTTATGTATTATAAGATAATTTTATGTCATTATTGAAAATAAATGTAGGATAAACTACGCATTTAAAATTAATACATAAACTATCAGTTTTAGTTTGTTTTAATACCTAACTTTTCAAAATATAGGATAAACTATGTTGTTAAAAACTTAACGAACGAGCTCGCTAACCGTCACGTCTACGGTCGTTGATAGTGGCATATGTCGGTTAATAAAGCCCAAACTTTTTAGTCCGTACCTTTTTGAACCCCCGAACGCGATTTTATCCTCTTCATTGGAAAACGCTTCAATCTCTTCAAATCGATGATTGATTCTTCGATTTCTTCGTCATTCGATCTCTGTCATCAACCGTTTGGTGAGCCTGAAACTGTACTATTTTGGTCGACTCGTCATTCTCTCATGCTCCATCCTTCGGATTGGTCTTCAATCCACTAGAGCTATGCCTCGTCAACCTGCCCTTAAGTTTTTAATGGCATGATACTAAAATAAAACAAAAACTAAACTTTAGGTGTGATTTTAAATTTTTTTAAAAAGTGTATGTGCTAAAATAGACCAAAATGATAGTTTAAGTATAAATCTAAATGCGTAGTTTACCCAAAAATAAAAAGTTGTCAATTTGCCATGTTAGTAGTTATGTTTATTTTTTTACTACGAATGTCTAAAACGAAACAAAAATATAACGTTATATATAATTTTAAAACAAATAATTTGATGAAAAACTGAACCAAAATGATAATTGGGTGAATAAATATGCAGTTTATCATTTTTAATGCAATAAATAATACATGGGAGTCGTTCTATGTCAATTCACTATTATACCCCATTACAAAATGATGATTTGAATGTCACCCAAAAAACATTGATGATTTGAAAAGTGGTAAAGCTTTTTCTTAGGTCTTCTTTAATCATTTACTTGGATGTAATTTTCTTTTTTCTTTTAAAGTAAAAACAGTATGAACATTTATGGTATATGCAGGGTGAATCTGATTTTTGTAATTATTTCTTCTTTTAATCGATATGATTAAAATTTATTTCATAATAAATGTATAATTATAATGATTGTTTCATTATTCTAATGATTAAGTAGTGTCAATATTTTTTTAATAAAATTAGAATATAATCCCTTTTTCAGTTATAAAATATAGTTATTTAATATAGTATTAGTAGGGAATTTTAATTCCATAATAAAAATTTAAAAATCATTGCATTTTTTTAAAATAGAAAATAATTATTTAACATAGTATTCATATGATTTTTAAAATTTATAATAGAAGTTAAGATCATTACATGTCTTTTAAAATAAGTTACTAAACCAAACTAGGAAGAGGAATAAAGAGGTGATTAAATACATCATTTATTGACATTAATATTACCTTTACTATTTAGACTAGAACAAATATTACTATTATTTTTTATTAATTAAAGTTTTCTTTATAGAAATATAAGAGAAATATCCAAATTATAATAAAAGTTTATAGCTATAATTTTTAAACATGTAATTATGACATTTTTCTATAATTATTGACACAAGAAACTAACCAGTTGAGATTTTTTTATAAGGACCACACATGGAAAATGTTAAAACCCATAAAAAACTCGAACAAAATATAAATACGAACATATCCGACTGATCGATTAACTAATCACAAAAAGCGATTAAATTATTGAAAGACTATCGAAAGAAATGTAAATCAGAGCATAGCGACATGAGAAAACTATCTACGAACACAAACTGTGTATCCAAATTCAATCCAAGCATCCAAAGCAGGAAGATTAGAAAGATAACTAATAAGTATCATATTAATCAATCGAGACGACGTTCAATCCAACTCTAAAAAAAGATAAACAAAAGAACGACCAAACGGTCGATAAAAAATACTGAAAACGTACCATAAAAACTGAGTTATTAAAAACTAAAGAAAAGGAAAAATAAAAATATGATATAAGAAAATAAAAAAATAAAGAATATCGATGATCATTGACTAACGCTAAAATTAATGTCGTTTCCTATTAAACAAAGATGAAAAGAAAGGAGTAAACGACTATGAAGAGAAAATAAAAGAGAAGTTTTTTTAGGGTTTTCGGAGTATTACATTTTTTATTAATTAAAGTTAATCATTTTGATTTTTTCAAGTTGGGATTATTTGACTTCAATGTGTTTTTTAAATCGGATGAGATCACATATTGGCCGGTCCCGTCCCCCTTAAAATTGTGTCACCTTTGGATAGACAATTCTCTTAATGTGAAAAAATGTCCTTTTCCAAAGAAGAAATAAAAAGTTTATGTAATTATTTTTTCATTAATTCAATGAAATTCAGATTTAATCAAACATGTGGAAGTAGACTATGGAAAGAATTTCAACCATGCATTTTTCCAAGTTCATAATGATTATATATGTCCCAAGTCATGACTAACTCTCCGAATGAAAATATATAATACATCTTCAACTAGTCCATGATAATTGTTTCTCATCTAATTAAACCTCACTCATTTCAAGGATATTGACGGCCCTCCACCAACCCTTATTCTACACTATTGAGTCTTAACATATTTAAAAGAGTTAATTGCACTATATCCTCAAAGTATGACTATAATTTAAATTAGTCCTCAAACTTTTGAACATTTCAATTTCATCCCCAAATTACAGCATTCATTCTAAATTGGTCCCTAAACTTTTTGAACATTCCATTTTCATCCGAAACTATACGTATATACTATCATCCTTGTTAATGAAATCGTTAGGCCAATTTATATTATTATATGTTTGAAAAAAAACAAAATTTATGTTAAATTATGGTTGAAATTAATTACATATTTGCATGAATTTGGAGATAAAATTGAAATATTCAAAAGTTTGGAGGAATAATTTAGAAAGAATGTCATAGTTTAGAATGAGAGTCATAGTTTGAGGATGAAATAGAAATTTTTAAAAGTTTTAGTACTAATTTAAAATGAAGATTATAGTTTATAGACATATGATGTAATTAAATATGTTTAAAAAGAAGGCTTCTGATAAACCATTAATATATAATTGAGCAATTACATTTCAATTAATCAATTTGTTCATCTTTATTTATTCATATTTTTTTAAGTTTGTGATTCCTAGACTCACTAGAATCACTTTCTTTCTTTTCCCTATAGTCTCCTTTCACTTCACCTCTATATAAAATTAAGATTATATTTAAAATTTATATAAAAATATTAATATAGAATTTTATATATTATAAATGAGTAAAATAATATCAAATTATTAATTTTATATTATTAATGTATCATTTTATACCATGGTTATCAAAATCGGACTGGACCGGCCGGATCGACCGGTTGAACCGGAACCAGTTGCATGTCTGATCCTGTCAGCTTTCAAAACCAGTTCTGCAATGAACCGTCTGGGAACCGACAAAACCGACTGAGAATCGACAAAATCGACTGAAAACCGACAAAATCGGTTTGAACTGCCGATTCTGATTTAACTATTATTTTAACTCCTTTTAATGATTTTTCCCGCTTTTTACCTCTTTTTTATTTAAATCAAAATGTGGGATCAACTGGTCTCTTTAGGACCTTCTTGGTAAGTGGTGCACTGGTGCTTACGTCTAAAAGATCTAACATGATTCGAGTTTCGAGGGTTGGTGAAGAAACCAAACTACACAAAATGCGGGACAAGCGTGATATTAGGGTGTGAGTTACAACAATTATTTTATGTATTTTTTATATTTTAAATAAAAAATTTGTGGGTTTTAATAAATAAAAAATTAAATCGGATCAGGTCGGATCGGATTTTTTTAATTGTCAATCGGGTCGGGTTACTGGTGGAATACCCTTTCTTCTCGGGTCGGGTCGGATGGTCCAAAAACCCGACCTAACCCAACCCATGTTCATCCCTACTTATGATATTTTTATACCTTTTAATATTATAAACTTAAAAAAAAGTGTTATATATATATATTAATATTGCTTTGAATATTATGTAAAATTTTAAAAAATATTATTTTATATAAATCGATTCAACCCGGTTGAATCAGTAAACCAATAAATCAATACCTTCACCGATTTAAATTTCGGTTCGATTTTAAAAATATTGTTTTATACAGATTGAGTGACAGTTTTGGGTTTTTGGGAGGTTTTGTACTTTTGAGATGACAAGTAAAGACGCGTTTGGACTCAGAGGACTTTATTGGAATAACATCAAGGGTAGACTATGTATTTAATCACCTAATTATTTGTGTGGTTCTTTGGTAATCTAATTTTTTTTAAAAATCATACCTAACATTACGTTATAATTTTATTTTAGCCATCTGTCTTTAAAAAATTAATAGTTATGCTAATATGTCATCATAAGAGAATATTAAGTCATCATTAAAAAAATAAAAATATCTCGTCAATAATTCTATTAATTTTTAAGGACGGGTGACCAAATAAATCTACAATGCAATGTCAAATATTATTTTGAAGAAAAAAAGTTAAGTTGTCAAAACCAAACTACACAAATAATTAAATGACTAAATACATAATTTATACTAATATTGAATGTAAAAAGAGGAGAGAGGTTGACGCTGGCCGGGATTACGCGTAGGGACAGAGTTGGTTGTAAGAAGAGTGTGCGTGTGGGTGTTTATCAGCGCAAAATGTGTTTAGAAAATGGAGGTAAGTATGGGTTGGCAGAGAGTTGTTGT